GCTATCACGTGGTACAGTAGCTATCACGTGGTACAGTAGCTATCACGTGGTACATCAGCCCTCACGTGGTACAGTAGCTATCACGTGGTACAGTAGCTATCACGTGGCACAGTAGCTATCACGTGGTACATCAGCTATCACGTGGTACAGTAGCTATCACTTGGTTCACGTGGTACAGTAGCTATCACGTGGTACAGTAGCTATCACGTGGTACAGTAGCTATCACGTGGTACAGTAGCTATCACGTGGTACAGTAGCTATCACGTGGTACAGTAGCTATCACGTGGTACAGTAGCTATCACGTGGTACAGTAGCTATCACGTGGTACAGTAGCTATCACGTGGTACAGTAGCTATCACGTGGTACAGTAGCTATCACGTGGTACAGTAGCTATCACGTGGTACAGTAGCTATCACGTGGTACAGTAGCTATCACGTGGTACAGTAGCTATCACGTGGTACAGTAGCTATCACGTGGTACAGTAGCTATCACGTGGTACAGTAGCTATCACGTGGTACAGTAGCTATCACGTGGTACAGTAGCTATCACGTGGTACAGTAGCTATCACGTGGTACAGTAGCTATCACGTGGTACATCAGCCCTCACGTGGTACAGTAGCTATCACGTGGTACAGTAGCTATCACGTGGCACAGTAGCTATCACGTGGTACATCAGCTATCACGTGGTACAGTAGCTATCACTTGGTTCACGTGGTACAGTAGCTATCACGTGGTACAGTAGCTATCACGTGGTACAGTAGCTATCACGTGGTACAGTAGCTATCACGTGGTACAGTAGCTATCACGTGGTACAGTAGCTATCACGTGGTACAGTAGCTATCACGTGGTACAGTAGCTATCACGTGGTACAGTAGCTATCACGTGGTACAGTAGCTATCACGTGGTACAGTAGCTATCACGTGGTACAGTAGCTATCACGTGGTACAGTAGCTATCACGTGGTACAGTAGCTATCACGTGGTACAGTAGCTATCACGTGGTACAGTAGCTATCACGTGGTACAGTAGCTATCACGTGGTACAGTAGCTATCACGTGGTACAGTAGCTATCACGTGGTACAGTAGCTATCACGTGGTACAGTAGCTATCACGTGGTACAGTAGCTATCACGTGGTACAGTAGCTATCACGTGGTACAGTAGCTATCACGTGGTACAGTAGCTATCACGTGGTACAGTAGCTATCACGTGGTACAGTAGCTATCACGTGGTACAATAGCTATCACGTGGTACAGTAGCTATCACGTGGGACAACAGATGCGTGAAGGGATATAAAACTGGAGAAAACAATGGTGTGTGAAATTTTTTTAAATGAAATAATTCAAAGTTTGAATCGTGTCTGATTTATAATCCAAGGGAAGTAACTTTACATTTTCACGTGTTATACCAAACAAGTTATTACTTCCCCTTTACTTTCCCATATACGTGTAAAACTCAAAATCAAAATTTAGTGTGTGGGGTGAGGTTAGGTGCACTGAGGTGATATGATGGTGAGGTTGATGGCTGAGTGAGGTAGGGTGAGGTGGGGTGGGGTAGGGTGGGGTGGGGTGATGTGGGGTGAGTGGGGTGATGTGGGGTGATGTGGTGTGGGGTGATGTGGGGTGGGGTGGGGTGGGGTGGGTGGCTGGGTAAGGTGGGGTGGGGTGAGGTGGGGTGAGGTGGGGTGAGGTGGTGAGGTGAGGTTGGTAAATGGAGTGCTGATACTTCCATCAAGGTATGGTCACCTAATTAAACATTTAACTGGACTCAGGCTCTGGACTTAGGCAACTCGGGATATCTATATATATAATTCTCTTCTGGGAGCCGTTAGAAAACAAGCTGCAAGCGCCTCCTTGCAGTTCCCTCTCTTTCTCTCTATCACTATCACTACCACCCCCACCCCACATTGTCTGGTGAGTTGTGGTCACGCTAAATGTTTACAATGCTAAATGTTTACAAATCGTAGAGCCGTAGAGCCGGGTTTCTATTAGGGGCAGATAATTTAGTTCGATTTTAACCTTACAGGAGGTAACTAAGAAATAACTAAGAGGAGGCTGCTTTCACGGGGGGGGGGGGGGGTGTAGGGTCGGGGTTAGGGGAAAGGGGGGGGGGAGGTTAGTGTTTTAAAGCAAATATTTTCAGTGGCAGCATTGGTACTGTCGAATTCACAAATTATGAATTACTGAAAAGTAGAAAATAAAACAACTAAATAGCGGCGTATGGTACGCTGCGGGTCGGCTCGTAGACAATATTTTTAATCTATTTTTATTTACTTAAACTTTTTAAAAAATACAATAGAATCTCGTAGAAAAAAGAATTGCACACCAAGTGAATGCAAAACAAAATGTGTATAATAGTGCGGAATATTATTAGTACTTTATAAATTCACATACGTTTTTCGAGAAATCGGAAATAGCGAAAATTACTTCCAGTCAACGGAAATTACTCAAAATTTGATAATTTGATAGGCAGATAATTAGATCTTTACTTATATGTGAAATTTCATTTATCTATCTGAAATAGTACTCAAGTTATAGGCTTTTGAAAAATTCAAAGTAAAAAAGTTCCACTTATACGGATCAACGATTTTGGTATAATACTTATATATGAAATTTCATCAACCTAGCTGTAACGGTACTTAAGTTATCAAGTTACAGACACACATACACACACGCATATATACACACACATACGGACAAGATTTCCGTTGACTGGAAGTAGTAAATTAGACTATTTCCGATTTCTCAAAAACGCATGTAAATTTATAAAGTACTAATAATAATCCGCACTATTATACATATTTTATTTGGCGTTCATTTGGTGTGAAATTCTTTTTTCTACGCTATTCTATTCTATTCTATTTTTAAAAGTTACCAAAAAGGGATTAAAAATATTGTCTATATCCCGAGTTGCCACCCCCCGTAGTGAGAAAGTTTAGGAGAGATCACTCCCGGTTTATTTCGACTCAGGGAGGTGTAAAACGTCGAGATTTGCAAGTAATTATAGTAGAGTGATCGCTTGCATTATTGTGATGTATAGCATTTATTTTCTACTTTTTAGTTCAATCAGAAAACGTGGGTTTCTAAAAACTTTTTTAATGATAATTATTTTCTACTTTTTAGTCTTTGTCTGTTTGTTTGCATTCAAATCTTGCTACCGATTTTATCTTCTCGCATTCACTTTTTATTTTTGGGCAAACGAAGACAACTCGTAAAAAACACGTGCCTTTTCCAATCGACGTTTCTTCTGTGTTGCCATCAACATTCTACTTCCTGATCAGTCAGATTTGCATAGGTTTGTACACAAACACCGCGTGACCACTACTAAGCCAATTGCGTGCTCGCTCCTTCAGTAAGCCACAAGAGGGAAAGTACCGAACCTTGTTTTCATCAAATTATAATTACTAGGTTATGTCCCTTTTTCGTACAAATATATTGGGGTCTAAAATTATCAATAAAATTTTTTCCATGGATCAATTTAGTAATAATAATAATTGGATATTGTATTGTCATCGGAAACGAAGTTTCCCTGAAAATCTCAGCGCGCTAGCTAACTGGGAAGTGCCCGAAATTTCGATCGCACGATTTGATTGGCAAAACAGACGCGAAAGCTAGTTAAAGAAAACGTGGGAAGAAGTGTTTAAATGCAATGAAAATAATTTTTTAAAAATGTATTAAAAACGTTTTAATAACAAGCTTTTATGTTATTTCTGTTTCTAAAAAAGCTTCCATTCGGAAAGCACAGAATTGAAAGCTTCCATTCGTAAAGCACAGAATTGAAAGCTTCCATTCGTAAAGCACAGAATTGAAAGCTTCCATTAGTCACCTGCTCAAGGGAAATGACAGCAACTTGTGTTTGTCAATCTTCAAATATTGATTGATTGATTGATTTCCTGTTGTATGCAAGCAAATAAGTTTTTGTCGAGGAAAGTCTTAGCATGAAAGGTTGTAGGTTAAACAAGTAATGGCCTGTTGAATAGAGACGGCAGACGGTAATGTGCCATTAACACAAGACAGACGCGAGGCTCCTGCACCCTACCTGCCCCCCACACCTGGCGCCATTCTTGTTTGCTAAACGGCTCTAAGGTTTTCAATTTCTGCCAGTCATGCGATGGTTCCATTTTCCTCCATACGTTACTCAAATAATCCAATTCGTATCAGGTTATAGGACTCTTGACTTCCTCTTGGCTGTTTTAACTTGTGGATGGGGAAAGGGGGGGGGGGGGAATCATATTGGAAAAGGAATGGGGGGGGGGGGCACTGGGTGGAGCAGGAGTGTACTGGATGGAGCAGGGTTGTACTGGGTGGAGCAGGGTTGTACTGGGTGGAGCAGGGTTGTACTGGGTGGAGCAGGAATGTACTGGGTGGAGCAGGGTTGTACTGGGTGGAGCAGGGTTGTACTGGGTGGAGCAGGGTTGTACTGGGTGGAGCAGGGTTGTACTGGGTGGAGCAGGGTTGTACTGGGTGGAGCAGGGTTGTACTGGGTGGAGCAGGAATGTACTGGGTGGAGCAGGGTTGTACTGGGTGGAGCAGGGTTGTACTGGGTGGAGCAGGGTTGTACTGGGTGGAGCAGGGTTGTACTGGGTGGAGCAGGGTTGTACTGGGTGGAGCAGGGTTGTACTGGGTGGAGCAGGATTGTACTGGGTGGAGCAGGGTTGTACTGGGTGGAGCAGGGTTGTACTGGGTGGAGCAGGGTTGTACTGGGTGGAGCAGGGTTGTACTAGGTGGAGCAGGAATGTACTGGGTGGAGCAGGAATGTACTGGGTGGAGCAGGAATGTACTGGGTGGAGCAGGGTTGTACTGGGTGGAGCAGGAAATTACTGGGTGGAATTAACTGTCAGCCTGTCATGCACAAGAAAATTTTCACCGTCCTGACGAAGTAATCTGAAAAGTCTGAGCTCTCAAGATGGCGGACCGGTGACCTCTCAAGATGGTGGACCGATTCAGGCCATTGACTCACTGTTCGATTTGACCCAGATTTTGAGCCGGCTGTTTTGTCAGGTTGTCGACTGCATTCACCCACCTAAAAGACTTTCCAAACGGGTTCCAGATGAAAGTCTCAGAGCAGCCCAAGCGTGACTGAAAGATTTCCTCTCCGCGAGTTTTAAAAAGGTAGGTGTTCAACATATCTAGGCTAAGTTCAAACTAACTTGACAACTTGTGTTAATGTGTGCCTGCAAATGTAACCCTAACTCAGCAGGTTTTGGACGGGAACTTTGAAATGCTTGCTTTAGGTGTGCTTGTATAAATGTTACGTCAACTAGCTGATATATGATGTATACACTATAAACTAGCTGATATATGATGATTACACTATAAATTAGCTGATATATGATCATTACACTATAAACTAGCTGATATATGATGTATACAATGTAAACCAGCTGATATATGATGTATACAATGTAAACCAGCTGATATATGATGTATACACTATAAACTAGCTGATATATGATGTATACACTATAAACTAGCTGATATATGATCATTACACTATAAACTAGCTGATATATGATGATTACACTATAAACTAGCTGATATATGATGATTACACTATAAACCAGCTGATATATGATGTATACAATGTAAACCAGCTGATATATGATGTATACACTATAAACTAGCTGATATATGATGATTACACTATAAACTAGCTGATATATGATGATTACACTATAAACTAGCTGATATATGATGTATACAATGTAAACCAGCTGATATATGATGTATACACTATAAACTAGCTGATATATGATGTATACAATGTAAACCAGCTGATATATGATGTATACACTATAAACTAGCTGATATATGATGTATACAATGTAAACCAGCTGATATATGATGTATACACTATAAACTAGCTGATATATGATGATTACAATGTAAACCAGCTGATATATGATGTATACACTATAAACTAGCTGATATATGATGATTACACTATAAACTAGCTGATATATGATAATTACACTATAAACTAGCTGATATATGATGTATACAATGTAAACCAGCTGATATATGATGTATACACTATAAACTAGCTGATATATGATGATTACACTATAAACTAGCTGATATATGATGTATACAATGTAAACCAGCTGATATATGATGTATACACTATAAACTAGCTGATATATGATGTATACACTATAAACTAGCTGATATATGATGTATACACTATAAACTAGCTGATATATGATGTATACACTATAAACTAGCTGATATATGATGTATACACTATAAACTAGCTGATATATGATGTATACAATGTAAACCAGCTGATATATGATGTATACACTATAAACTAGCTGATATATGATGTATACAATGTAAACCAGCTGATATATGATGTATACACTATAAACTAGCTGATATATGATGTATACAATGTAAACCAGCTGATATATGATGTATACACTATAAACTAGCTGATATATGATGTATACAATGTAAACCAGCTGATATATGATGATTACACTATAAACTAGCTGATATATGATGATCACACTATAAACTAGCTGATATATGATAATTACACTATAAACTAGCTGATATATGATGATCACACTATAAACTAGCTGATATATGATCATTACACTATAAACTAGCTGATATATGATCATTACACTATAAACTAGCTGATATATGATGTATACACTATAAACTAGCTGATATATTATGTTTACACTATAAACTAGCTGATATATGATGTATACACTATAAACTAGCTGATATATGATGATCACACTATAAACTAGCTGATATATGATGTATACACTATAAACTAGCTGATATATGATGTATACACTATAAACTAGCTGATATATGATGTATACACTATAAACTAGCTGATATATGATGTATACACTATAAACTAGCTGATATATGATGTATACACTATAAACTAGCTGATATATGATGTATACACTATAAACTAGCTGATATATGATGATCACACTATAAACTAGCTGATATATGATGTATACACTATAAACTAGCTGATATATGATGTATACACTATAAACTAGCTGATATATGCAAGCTTCGGAGCCCCCCGCCCAAGCCACCGTAGAAAGTCTACCGCCCCCCCCCCCCCCTCGAACGAAATGGAATTTATATTGTATACATACACTTTTATTAGTGTCCGCTCCCCCCGCCCCGAAAATATCACGTGCCCCCCCCCCCCCCCCCCCCGGAGAAAAAAGTCTGAAAGAAACACTGGATAAATGGTGTATCACCATGATGATATATGCTGTATCGCCTAGCAGTTACATGTTGTATTTTATTGGCCTAGAATTTGTCTGATAATGCTAGGCACATCTTGTGATCTACCTGATATAATGGTCAGTCGTCAAACTTTCAACCATCGCTACAGGTCACATGCGATTTCTTTCTTTCTCTTTCTCTCACTCACATACACTCACATACACACACTCACATACATACACTCACATACACACACTCACATACACACACTCACATACACACACTCACATACACACACTCACATACACACATTCACATACACACACTCACATACACACACTCACATACACACACTCACATACAGTCACTCACATACACACACTCACATACACACACTCACATACACACACTCTCACACACTCACATACACACACTCACATGCAACCACTCTCACACACTCACATACACACACTCACATACACACACTCACATACACACATAAGCTTGCTCTCTCTTGAACACTCTCTTGCTCTCTCTCTCTCACACAAACTTGCACATTGACGTAAATGCATACACACATACACACAAAAAGAACATCACCTCGCCAGTGGTCATTACTTTTTGTGTTACAGACTTTCGTCTTGAATGACACTTGTCATCTGGTCACCATGACACCTATCATCCGGACGATATGACACTTGTCATCTGAATGCCATGATAGCTCACTTCAAAGACTTTTTTCTCGGCCTGTTGATTGGCCTATCCTTGACAGTTTTCTTCATTGGCAGTTTACTGGTGGAGAATTTTCCTTTCTCGCAGCAAGTATGGTCAAGTTTAAATAGAACGGTCAAGTTTAAATAGAACGGTCAAGTTTAGATAGAACGGTCAAGTTTAGATAGAACGGTCAAGTTTAAATAGAACGGTCAAGTTTAAATAGAACGGTCAAGTTTAAATAGAACGGTCAAGTTTAGATAGAACGGTCAAGTTTAAATAGAACGGTCAAGTTTAGATATGTATGGGTAGGTCATGTGTCTGCTAATTATTCCCAAACATCTAGGTACGGTTTGGAGGATCGCAGATGGTTCCATTATATGATGACGTCAGAATGGAGACTTTGACACCAGCCAATGAAAATACAGCAAATTTTGGCGCCAAAACCTATCAGCCATATAATGACTTAGGTGAGCTCCTTCAAGACGCGAAAACATATCTTTATGACTGACCAACATGACTGACCAACATGACTGACCAACATGACTGACCAACATGACTGACCAACATGACTGACCAACATGACTGACCAACATGACTGACCAACATGACTGACTGACCAACATGACTGACCAACATGACTGACCAACATGACTGACCAACATGACTGACCAACATGACTGACCAACATGACTGACCAACATGACTGACCAACATGACTGACTGACCAACTTGACTGACCAACATGACTGACCAACATGACTGACCAACATGACTGACCAACATGACTGACCAACATGACTGACCAACATGACTGACCAACCTGACTGACCAAAATGACTGACCAACATGACTGACCAACCTGACTGACCAACATGACTGACCAACATGACTGACCAACATGACTGACCAACATGACTGACTGACCAACATGACTGACCAACATGACTGACCAACATGACTGACCAACATGACTGGCCAACATGACTGACTGACCAACATGACTGACCAACATGACTGACCAACCTGACTTACCAACCTGACTGACCAACATGACTGACCAACATGACTGACCAACCCGACTGACCAACCTGACTGACCAACATGACTGACCAACATGACTGACCAACATGACTGACCAACCTGACTGACCAACATGACTGACCAACATGACTGACCAACATGACTGACCAACATGACTGACCAACATGACTGACTGACCAACATGACTGACCAACATGACTGACCAAAATGATTGACCAACCTGACTTACCAACCTGACTGACCAACATGACTGACTGACCAACATGACTGACCAACATGACTGACCAACATGACTGACTGACCAACATGACTGACCAACATGACTGACCAACATGACTGACCAACATGACTGACTGACCAACATGACTGACCAACCTGACTTACCAACCTGACTTACCAACCTGACTGACCAACATGACTGACCAACATGACTGACCAACATGACTGACCAACCTGACTTACCAACCTGACTTACCAACCTGACTGACCAACATGACTGACCAACATGACTGACCAACATGACTGACCAACCTGACTTACCAACCTGACTGACCAACATGACTGACCAACATGACTGACCAACATGACTGACCAACATGACTGACCAACATGACTGACCAACATGACTGACCAACATGACTGACCAACCTGACTTACCAACCTGACTGACCAACATGACTGACCAACATGACTGACCAACATGACTGACCAACATGACTGACCAACATGACTGACCAACATGACTGACCAACATGACTGACCAACATGACTGACCAACATGACTGACTGACCAACATGACTGACTGACCAACATGACTGACCAACATGACTGACCAACATGACTGACCAACATGACTGACCAACATGACTGACCAACATGACTGACTGACCAACATGACTGACTGACCAACATGACTGACCAACATGACTGACCAACATGACTGACTGACCAACATGACTGACCAACATGAGTGACCTACATGACTGACCAACATGACTGACCAACATGACTGACCAACATGACTGACCAACATGACTGACCAACATGACTGACCAACATGACTGACCAACATGACTGACCAACATGACTGACCAACATGACTGACTGACCAACTTGACTGACCAACATGACTGACCAACATGACTGACCAACATGACTGACCAACATGACTGACCAACATGACTGACCAACATGACTGACCAACATGACTGACCAACCTGACTGACCAAAATGACTGACCAACATGACTGACCAACCTGACTGACCAACATGACTGACCAACATGACTGACCAACATGACTGACCAACATGACTGACTGACCAACATGACTGACCAACATGACTGACCAACATGACTGACCAACATGACTGACCAACATGACTGACCAACATGACTGACCAACATGACTGACCAACATGACTGACCAACATGACTGACTGACCAACTTGACTGACCAACATGACTGACCAACATGACTGACCAACATGACTGACCAACATGACTGACCAACATGACTGACCAACATGACTGACCAACATGACTGACCAACCTGACTGACCAAAATGACTGACCAACATGACTGACCAACCTGACTGACCAACATGACTGACCAACATGACTGACCAACATGACTGACCAACATGACTGACTGACCAACATGACTGACCAACATGACTGACCAACATGACTGACCAACATGACTGACCAACATGACTGACTGACCAACATGACTGACCAACATGACTGACCAACCTGACTTACCAACCTGACTGACCAACATGACTGACCAACATGACTGACCAACCCGACTGACCAACCTGACTGACCAACATGACTGACCAACATGACTGACCAACATGACTGACCAACATGACTGACCAACATGACTGACTGACCAACATGACTGACCAACATGACTGACCAACATGACTGACCAACATGACTGACCAACATGACTGACCAACATGACTGACCAACATGACTGACCAACATGACTGACTGACCAACTTGACTGACCAACATGACTGACCAACATGACTGACCAACATGACTGACCAACATGACTGACCAACATGACTGACCAACATGACTGACCAACCTGACTGACCAAAATGACTGACCAACATGACTGACCAACCTGACTGACCAACATGACTGACCAACATGACTGACCAACATGACTGACCAACATGACTGACTGACCAACATGACTGACCAACATGACTGACCAACATGACTGACCAACATGACTGGCCAACATGACTGACTGACCAACATGACTGACCAACATGACTGACCAACCTGACTTACCAACCTGACTGACCAACATGACTGACCAACATGACTGACCAACCCGACTGACCAACCTGACTGACCAACATGACTGACCAACATGACTGACCAACATGACTGACCAACCTGACTGACCAACATGACTGACCAACATGACTGACCAACATGACTGACCAACATGACTGACCAACATGACTGACTGACCAACATGACTGACCAACATGACTGACCAAAATGATTGACCAACCTGACTTACCAACCTGACTGACCAACATGACTGACTGACCAACATGACTGACCAACATGACTGACCAACATGACTGACTGACCAACATGACTGACCAACATGACTGACCAACATGACTGACCAACATGACTGACTGACCAACATGACTGACCAACATGACTGACCAACCTGACTTACCAACCTGACTTACCAACCTGACTGACCAACATGACTGACCAACATGACTGACCAACATGACTGACCAACCTGACTTACCAACCTGACTTACCAACCTGACTGACCAACATGACTGACCAACATGACTGACCAACATGACTGACCAACCTGACTTACCAACCTGACTGACCAACATGACTGACCAACATGACTGACCAACATGACTGACCAACATGACTGACCAACATGACTGACCAACATGACTGACCAACATGACTGACCAACCTGACTTACCAACCTGACTGACCAACATGACTGACCAACATGACTGACCAACATGACTGACCAACATGACTGACCAACATGACTGACCAACATGACTGACCAACATGACTGACCAACATGACTGACCAACATGACTGACCAACATGACTGACTGACCAACATGACTGACTGACCAACATGACTGACCAACATGACTGACCAACATGACTGACCAACATGACTGACCAACATGACTGACCAACATGACTGACTGACCAACATGACTGACTGACCAACATGACTGACCAACATGACTGACCAACATGACTGACTGACCAACATGACTGACCAACATGAGTGACCTACATGACTGACCAACATGACTGACCAACATGACTGACCAACATGACTGACCAACATGACTGACCAACATGACTGACCAACATGACTGACCAACATGACTGACCAACATGACTGACTGACCAACTTGACTGACCAACATGACTGACCAACATGACTGACCAACATGACTGACCAACATGACTGACCAACATGACTGACCAACATGACTGACCAACATGACTGACCAACCTGACTGACCAAAATGACTGACCAACATGACTGACCAACCTGACTGACCAACATGACTGACCAACATGACTGACCAACATGACTGACCAACATGACTGACTGACCAACATGACTGACCAACATGACTGACCAACATGACTGACCAACATGACTGACCAACATGACTGACCAACATGACTGACCAACATGACTGACCAACATGACTGACCAACATGACTGACTGACCAACTTGACTGACCAACATGACTGACCAACATGACTGACCAACATGACTGACCAACATGACTGACCAACATGACTGACCAACATGACTGACCAACATGACTGACCAACCTGACTGACCAAAATGACTGACCAACATGACTGACCAACCTGACTGACCAACATGACTGACCAACATGACTGACCAACATGACTGACCAACATGACTGACTGACCAACATGACTGACCAACATGACTGACCAACATGACTGACCAACATGACTGACCAACATGACTGACTGACCAACATGACTGACCAACATGACTGACCAACCTGACTTACCAACCTGACTGACCAACATGACTGACCAACATGACTGACCAACCCGACTGACCAACCTGACTGACCAACATGACTGACCAACATGACTGACCAACATGACTGACCAACCTGACTGACCAACATGACTGACCAACATGACTGACCATCATGACTGACCAACATGACTGACCAACATGACTGACTGACCAACATGACTGACCAACATGACTGACCAAAATGATTGACCAACCTGACTTACCAACCTGACTGACCAACATGACTGACTGACCAACATGACTGACCAACATGACTGACCAACATGACTGACTGACCAACATGACTGACCAACATGACTGACCAACATGACTGACCAACATGACTGACTGACCAACATGACTGACCAACATGACTGACCAACCTGACTTACCAACCTGACTTACCAACCTGACTGACCAACATGACTGACCAACATGACTGACCAAAATGACTGACCAACCTGACTTACCAACCTGACTTACCAACCTGACTGACCAACATGACTGACCAACATGACTGACCAACATGACTGACCAACCTGACTTACCAACCTGACTGACCAACATGACTGACCAACATGACTGACCAACATGACTGACCAACATGACTGACCAACATGACTGACCAACATGACTGACCAACATGACTGACCAACCTGACTTACCAACCTGACTGACCAACATGACTGACCAACATGACTGACCAACATGACTGACCAACATGACTGACCAACATGACTGACCAACATGACTGACCAACATGACTGACCAACATGACTGACCAACATGACTGACCAACATGACTGACTGACCAACATGACTGACTGACCAACATGACTGACCAACATGACTGACCAACATGACTGACCAACATGACTGACCAACATGACTGACCAACATGACTGACTGACCAACATGACTGACTGACCAACATGACTGACCAACATGACTGACCAACATGACTGACTGACCAACATGACTGACCAACATGAGTGACCTACATGACTGACCAACATGACTGACCAACATGACTGACCAACATGACTGACCAACATGATTGACTGACCAAGATGACTGACCAACATGACTGACCAACATGACTGACCAACATGACTGACTAACATGAGTGACCAACATGACTGACCAACATGACTGACCAACATGACTGACTAACATGAGTGACCAACATGACTGACCAACATGACTGACCAACATGACTGACCAACATGACTGATCAACATGACTGACCAACATGACTGACCAACATGACTGACCAACATGACTGACTGACATGAGTGACCAACATGACTGACCAACATGACTGACTGACCAACATGACTGACCAACATGACTGACCAACATGACTGACTGACCAACATGAGTGACCAACATGACTGACCAACATGACTGACCAGCATGACTGACCAACATGACTGACCAACATGACTGACCAACATGACTGACCAACATGACTGACCAACATGACTGACCAACATGACTGACTGACCAACATGACTGACCAACATGACTGACCAAATGACTGACCAGCATGACTGACCAACATGACTGACCAACATGACTGACCAACATGACTGACCAACATGACTGACCAACATGACTGACCAACATGACTGACCAACATGACTGACCAACATGACTGACTGACCAACATGACTGACTAACCAACATGACTGACCAACATGACTGACCAACATGACTGACTGACCAACATGACTGACCAACATGAGTGACCAACATGACTGACCAACATGACTGACCAACATGACTGACCAACATGACTGACCAACATGATTGACTGACCAAGATGACTGACCAACATGACTGACCAACATGACTGACCAACATGACTGACTAACATGAGTGACCAACATGACTGACCAACATGACTGACCAACATGACTGACTAACATGAGTGACCAACATGACTGACCAACATGACTGACCAACATGACTGACCAACATGACTGACCAACATGACTGATCAACATGACTGACCAACATGACTGACCAACATGACTGACCAACATGACTGACTGACATGAGTGACCAACATGACTGACCAACATGACTGACTGACCAACATGACTGACCAACATGACTGACCAACATGACTGACTGACCAACATGAGTGACCAACATGACTGACCAACATGACTGACCAGCATGACTGACCAACATGACTGACCAACATGACTGACCAACATGACTGACCAACATGACTGACCAACATGACTGACTGACCAACATGAGTGACCAACATGACTGACCAACATGACTGACCAGCATGACTGACCAACATGAGTGACCAACATGACTGACCAACATGACTGACCAGCATGACTGACTGACCAACATGACTGACCAACATGACTGACCAGCACCTTTACATTCAGAAGACGACATGATAGCCCAAGAATTGCGGCAAGCTGTCCGCGTGCTGGCATGGGTCAAGACAGCTGCTGACAGCTTGGACAGCTTGGACAGCTTGGACAGCAGAGCCCTGGCCATCAAGCAGACGTGGGGTAAAAGATGTGACGTCATGATATATTTCAGGTCGGGGCAAATGTTGCGTCATTTCAGATTTATTTGCAGTAGCGTTAAGTGCTATTTGGCTTAGAGAGTTCTTAAACATTCCACTTTATCAGCCAACCCTTCTCAACCCTATCAGCCAACCCTACTCAACCCTGTCAGCCAACCCTACTCAACCCTATCAGCCAACCCTACCCAACCTTATCAGCCAGCCCTACTCAACCATCTGCCAACCCTCCACATACCGAGGTATACGAGAAAGTTTAGGGGAGCCCACTCCTACTTTTTACAAGTCCACTCTCAATATGAGATTAAATTACAACTTAAAACTTAATCAGGAGACAGTCGTTTGGTTTTAATAACAAATTCCAAAGAGCTATTAGATTTTGTCGTCTGTGTAAATACGTGTGTTTGGCAGAAAACTGTACCGATAAATTATTTAAATCTTTGAAACTAGCTATCACGTGATATAATGTTTGTATCAACAGCACCGTGGAGGACCTTGAGTTCCCAGCTGTTAAACTTGGAGCGCCAGGGGGCGCGGAGGTTGGAACAACAATGGCGGCCTTTCAGTATGTTCATGAACATCATTTGAACCAGGCGGACTGGTTCATGAAGGTCTGTTTCTCTCCGTCTGTCTGTCGGTCTGTCTGTCTGTCTGTCGTTCACTCCGTCTGTCGGTCTGTCTGTCTGTCGTTCACTCCGTCTGTCGGTCTGTCTGTCTGTCTGTCTGTCGTTCACTCCGTCTGTCGGTCTGTCTGTCTGTCGTTCACTCCGTCTGTCGGTCTGTCTGTCTGTCGTTCACTCCGTCTGTCGGTCTGTCTGTCTGTCGTTCACTCCGTCTGTCGGTCTGTCTGTCTGTCGTTCACTCCGTCTGTCGGTCTGTCTGTCTGTCGTTCACTCCGTCTGTCGGTCTGTCTGTCTGTCGTTCACTCCGTCTGTCGGTCTGTCTGTCTGTCGTTCACTCCGTCTGTCGGTCTGTCTGTCTGTCGTTCACTCCGTCTGTCGGTCTGTCTGTCTGTCGTTCACTCCGTCTGTCGGTCTGTCTGTCTGTCTGTCGCTCACTCCGTCTGTCGGTCTGGCTGTCTGTCGTTCACTCCGTCTGTCGGTTTGTCTGTTTGGATAACCCAGTCAACGTCAGAGTTATCTCTCCTAGATGGGTTGCTGTCCCCAGCCTATGAGCCCTAGATTGGTTGCTGTCCCCATCCTATGAGCCCTATATGGATTATTGTCCCCAGCCTATGAGCCCTAGATGGATTATTGTCCCCAGCCTATGAGCCCTAGATTGGTTGCTGTCCCCAGTCTATGAGCCCTAAATGAATTATTGTCCCCAGCAGATGAGCCCTAGATGGATTATTGTCTCCAGCCTATGAGCCCTAGATGGATTATTGCCCCCAGCCTATGAGCCCTAGATGGATTATTGCCCCCAGCCTATGAGCCCTAGATGGATTATTGTCCCCAGCCTATGAGCCCTAGATGGGTTGCTGTCCCCAGCCTATGAGCCCTAGATGGATTATTGCCCCCAGCCTATGAGCCCTAGATGGATTATTGCCCCCAGCCTAAGAGCCCTATATGGATTATTGCCCCCAGCCTATGAGCCCTAGATGGATTATTGCCCCCAGCCTAAGAGCCCTAGATGGATTATTGTCCCCAGCCTAAGAGCCCTAGATGGATTATTGTCCCCAGCCTATGAGCCCTAGATGGATTATTGTCCCCAGCCTATGAGCCCTAGATGGATTATTGCCCCCAGCCTAAGAGCCCTAGATGGATTATTGTCCCCAGCCTAAGAGCCCTAGATGGATTATTGTCCCCAGCCTATGAGCCCTAGATGGTTTATTGTCCCCAGCCTATGAGCCCTAGATGGTTTATTGTCCCCAGCCTATGAGCCCTAGATGGATTATTGCCCCCAGCCTAAGAGCCCTAGATGGATTATTGTCCCCAGCCTATGAGCCCTAGATGGGTTGCTGTCCCCAGCCTATGAGCCCTAGATGGATTATTGCCCCCAGCCTATGAGCCCTAGATGGATTATTGTCCCCAGCCTATGAGCCCTAGATGGATTATTGTCCCCAGCCTATGAGCCCTAGATGGATTATTGCCCCCAGCTTATGAGCCCTAGATGGATTATTGTCCCCAGCCTATGAACCCTAGATGGGTTGCTGTCCCCAGCCTATGAGCCCTAGATGGATTATTGCCCCCAGCCTATGAGCCCTAGATGGATTATTGCCCCCAGCCTATGAGCCCTAGATGGATTATTGCCCCCAGCCTATGAGCCCTAGATGGGTTGCTGTCCCCAGCCTATGAGCCCTAGATGGGTTGCTGTCCCCAGCCTATGAGCCCTAGATGGGTGGCTGTCCCCAGCCATTGCGTCAGCATACTCAGTGAACAGCGCAACCTTTACACTGAAGACATTAGTACTTTTTATTCGGGCTAAGGAAAACGGTATTCTTGGCTCGTTGGGCACCAGGTGGGCACCAGGTGGGCACCAGGTGGGCACCAGTTACACCATATACTAAATATAGAAGTGTCATGATGCCCCAATGGCAGCTGGATCAGTTATTGTTTCAACTTATTTGGTGGAATGACTTTTGAATCTTCCTCAAGGCTGACGACAGCACGTACGTTGTCATGGAGAATCTTCGCTTCTTTTTGGCAGACAAGAACAAGTCAGAGGCAGTTTACTTCGGACATTTGTTTTCGCGGCGTGTAGAGCAGGGTTATTACAGGTAAACAGTGGCGTCACAAGGGGGTGTGGCGGGGCTATTACAGGTAATCAGTGGCGTCACAAGGGGGTGTGGCGGGGCTATTACAGGTAATCAGTGGCGTCACAAGGGGGTGTGGCGGGGCTATTACAGGTAATCAGTGGCGTCACAAGGGGGTGTGGCGGGGCTATTACAGGTAATCAGTGGCGTCACAAGGGGGTGTGGCGGGGCTATTACAGGTAATCAGTGGCGTCACAAGGGGGTGTGGCGGGGCTATTACAGGTAATCAGTGGCGTCACAAGGGGGTGTGGCGGGGTTATTACAGGTAATCAGTGGCGTCACAAGGGGGTGTGGCGGGGCTATTACAGGTAATCAGTGGCGTCACAAGGGGGTGTGGCGGGGCTATTACAGGTAATCAGTGGCGTCACAAGGGGGTGTGGCGGGGCTATTACAGGTAATCAGTGGCGTCACAAGGGGGTGTGGCGGGGTTATTACAGGTAATCAGTGGCGTCACAAGGGGGTGTGGCGGGGCTATTACAGGTAATCAGTGGCGTCACAAGGGGGTGTGGCGGGGCTATTACAGGTAATCAGTGGCGTCACAAGGGGGTGTGGCGGGGCTATTACAGGTAATCAGTGGCGTCACAAGGGGGTGTGGCGGGGCTATTACAGGTAATCAGTGGCGTCACAAGGGGGTGTGGCGGGGCTATTACAGGTAATCAGTGGCGTCACAAGGGGGTGTGGCGGGGCTATTACAGGTAATCAGTGGCGTCACAAGGGGGTGTGGCGGGGTTATTACAGGTAATCAGTGGCGTCACAAGGGCGTGTGGCGGGGCTATTACAGGTAATCAGTGGCGTCACAAGGGGGTGTGGCGGGGCTATTACAGGTAATCAGTGGCGTCACATGGGGGTGTGGCGGGGCTATTACAGGTAAACAGTGGCGTCACAAGGGGGTGTGGCGGGGCTATTACAGGTAAACAGTGGCGTCACAAGGGGGTGTGGCGGGGCTATTACAAGTAATCAGTGGCGTCACAAGGGGGTGTGGCGGGGCTATTACAGGTAATCAGTGGCGTCACAAGGGGGTGTGGCGGGGCTATTACAGGTAAACAGTGGCGTCACAAGGGGGTGTGGCGGGGCTATTACAGGTAAACAGTGGCGTCACAAGGGGGTGTGGCGGGGCTATTACAGGTAATCAGTGGCGTCACAAGGGGGTGTGGCGGGGCTATTACAGGTAATATATTCTCTAGCCAAGTGACCACTAGTATTGATTCCATTTTTGATCAGCAGTGGCGGTGGCTATGTCATTAGTCAGGAGGCTTTGCGCAGGTTTGGTCAAAACGGCTTCAACTCGACCATCTGTAGCGAAGATGGGGATGGTGAGAAGGATGGGGACGTGCAGTTTGGACTCTGCATGGAGAGGCTGAAGGTCAAAACCTCAAGGTCGTTGGATGAGATGGGGAGGAGTGTGTTTCACCCCCTGCACCCCCGGCTTCACGTCCTGAACAGGTTGCCTGCGTGGATGTTTCGGGAGTCACCAGGCACAGCTCGGCAGGTACTGGTAGCAGGTGGTTGTTTGTCTGGTTGTCTGTCTGGTTGTCTGTCTGGTTGTCTGTCTGGTTGTCTGTCTGGTTGTCTGTCTGTCTAGTTGTTTGTCTGTCTGGTTGTCTGTCTGGTGGTTGTCTGTCTGGTTGTCTGTTGGTTGTCGGTCTGTCTGGTTGTCTGTCTGTCTGGTTGTCTGTCTGTCTGGTTGTCTGTATGTCTGGTTGTCTGTCTAGTTGTCTGTCTGCTGGTTGTGAGATGGCTGGCGGATGTAATCAGATCTATTTTGACCTGCAGGGATTTGGGGTGAGCAAATACGCCGCGACCTTCCATGACCTTTCACCTGACGAAATGCGAATGATGGACTTCTACATGTACCACATGAGGCCTTATGGGATACATTCTATTTTGAGAAACAACAGTTCAACCAATGGCCAATGGCCAACATTTCCCTGAGAGAAACAACAGTCCAACCAATGGCCAACATTTCCCTGAGAGAAACAACAGTCCAACCAATGGCCAACATTTCTCTGAGAGAAACAACAGTCCAACCAATGGCCAACATTTCTCTGAGAGAAACAACAGTCCAACCAATGGCCAATGGCCAATATTTCCCTGAGAGAAACAACAGTCCAACCAATGGCCAATGGCCAACATTTCTCTGAGAGAAACAACAGTCCAACCAATGGCCAATGGCCAACATTTCCCTGAGAGAAACAACAGTCCAACCAATGGCCAATGGCCAACATTTCTCTGAGAGAATCAACAGTCCAACCAATGGCCAATGGCCAACATTTCTCTGAGAGAAACAACAGTCAAACCAAATAGAAAACTCTGAACTTAACATCAAAATAAATTCACTAAACATGATCTCGCCTATGAATCCTTCCCTTGTGTTTCATGCCCTAACCTTGCCACTGGGAACAATCATGGTAAAGCTCACATGCTCATGTGAATCTAGCCAGACAATACACCGTGGAAAAGCCAGACATTCACAATACACCGTGGAAAAGCCAGACATTCACAATACACCGTGGAAAAGCCAGACATTCACAATATACAGTGGAAAGGCCAGACATTCACAATACACAGTGGAAAGGCCAGACATTCACAATACACAGAGGAAAGCCCAGACATTCACAATACACAGTGGAAAGGCCAGACATTCACAATACACAGTGGAAAGGCCAGACATTCACAATACACAGAGGAAAGCCCAGACATTCACAATACACAGTGGAAAAGCCAGACATTCACAATACACAGTGGAAAGGCTAGACATTCACAATACACAGTGGAAAGGCCAGACATTCACAATACACAGTGGTAAGGTCAGACATTCACAATACACAGTGGAAAGGCCAGACATTCACAATACACAGAGGAAAGCCCAGACATTCACAATACACAGTGGAAAGGCCAGACATTCACAATACACAGTGGAAAAGCCAGACATTCACAATACACAGTGGAAAGGCTAGACATTCACAATACACAGTGGAAAGGCCAGACATTCACAATACACAGAGGAAAGCCCAGACATTCACAATACACAGTGGAAAAGCCAGACATTCACAATACACAGTGGAAAGGCCAGACATTCGGAAACGCCGGTTGTTGGAAGTTTGGCTCGATATTAGAAGAAATTTTTTTCTAAAACATGTCGTTTGTAGTGTTAAATTAAAAGAAGAAAATTGTTTTTTTTATTTGAAAGTGGCATAAATTGTTAAATAGTTTTTATACATTGTTTATTATCTAGGTATTAAAAAATCTCATTCTTTTTATTAAAAGCTTTTATTTAGTTCGCAACGTCCGTTTGTTTGTTTGATTATTTGTTTGTTTGTTTGTGGGTTTGTAGCAAATCTTGTAACTGATTTTTGACCAACTTCTAATGTAGCGATTTCGTTCAAAATGTCTAGATACTTCTTCAAGGACAATGCATGCATATTATTTTTTAATCTAATTAGACATTGGATCAGTCATTAAACTCTAATTAAACAATTTCAAACCTAAGGGGAGATAACAAGATCAAATGCTACCAATCACTCGATAGATAATTATATTTCATATCAGAAGGGGAATAACTAGGATGATAACTAGGGTGATAACGTAGAGCGGACAGACAACTGTCTTTCAAACTAGTCATCGGATACACAAATATTTTTAGTCGAGGCCAGTATAGATTTAGTGTTAACTGCCTTTAGAACGGATTTCTAAAAAGTGTAAAATAAAACAATAAGAAAATAAACAAACATGTATCCTAATATATAAAGCACGCACTTCTCTATCTCTCCCTGTCCACATGTCCCGAGTCTATGAGATCAATATCTTCAGCAATTTATGGAGAACTTAAAGATACAGACTTTTGTTGAAAATAATATGTTGGATTTAAAAAACAACGTAATGACCATTGAACAGCTGGGTTTTTAACGGAATGATTTAAGTCTCTTAATCAATGTGTGCATCTAATATTGGGTTGAGCTGACTATTAATGCACATAATTTGGTTTTAATTTTTCTATTAGGTATTGGTAGCCTACGTTATTTTAAATGTGTCGGATTTTTAGCTATTTACTTGCTTCTTTGTTTTGTAACTATTATCGTTCAACGTGTAGTAAAGCACATAGCGTTTTGCCAAATAACTATTTTATAAACTTTTTTTTTACAAATAAGTGTAAGCCCTGATAGGGGGGATAACTACACTATGTCCCTAGGCTTATCTAATTAACTGTCCGGTCAGTGCAACCGTGGTAAAACCCACAGTGGTTAAATCCTAACCTAGACTAGGTTAAAAAAAAACAACCTTTAACAATTTAATAAAATTTATTTAACAGAGATGGAAGCAATATTTAATGAAGGGATGCAAAAAAAAAAAAAATTGATCTAAATCTAGACAAAACAAAACACGACTAGACAAAACTAGACTCAACAAAACACGACCTAACAAAACACGATAAAACAAAACACGACTAGACAAAACTAGACTCAACAAAACACGACAAAACAAAACACGACTAGACAAAACTAGACTCAACAAAACACGACAAAACAAAACACGACTAAACAAAAAAAAAACCAATGGACTACAATCCAGGCTTAATAGAAATAAAACAACAAGGTAAAACAGATGGCGCAGTGCTGACATTCTGATGTTTCGGATGGTCCAGGTTCTAATCACACAAGAGCCTCCCCCATCCCCTCGACATACAAAAGTGTATTGAAACATCTGCTGGGAACTGACTTCCAGACACCTCGCACACTACACGTAAACAAATAATCCCTAATCCACTGATAACAAACAACACACCTGGAAACATAAGACAGAATTATACAAAAAGACACTTAATATAAACATTGACAACAATATAAACAAAATATATACAAACTATATATACACTAAACTATATATACAAACTAGCCGTAGACAGCGACGTTAACAGTTATACAGCGGCGCCATAACACAGGACTACATAACTAAACAGCACGAACAGTTTACCACATGAAACGGTACATTCGCCTTTATAGCTACAGATTTTATAATAAAACACTCCAGCCACTCACATAAGTATAACATTAAAATATATATAGGCCTGTAATTCACTTGAAACGGGTACCCAAGGCTAGTTATTTAATAAAAGCTTTGGTTGCTAAGAAATCTCAAAGCGACCAAACGTCTTTGTTTATTTTCTTATTTTCAATGCATTTAAAAGTTTGTTATTGTAAAGATTTTTTTATAATTGCTTTATTTAGTCTCTAGGAACTTAAAAAAAATCTTTGTTCGTATATATGAATTGAAAAAAATACCTCCTCCTTTTAGAAACTAATAAAATAAAAAAATAAAAATCTGATATTTGTAACTATCGAGGGTTAAAAGAAATCTGTTCAGTGTGGAGTGCCAAGAGATCGATATATGATCCACAGCCACATGTGGCCACTACCCAAATGACCTACTACCCAAATGACCTACTACCCACATGACCTTCTACCCACATGACCTACTGCCCATTTGACCTTCTACCCACATGACCTACTACCCACATATGACCTACTACCCTAATGACCTACTATCCACATATGATCTACTACCCACATATGACCTACTACCCACATGACCTACTACCCACATATCACCTACTACCCACATGACCTACTAGCCATATGACCTACTACCCACATGACCTACTACCCACATGACCTACTACCCATATGACCTACTACCCCCATGAACTACAATCCACATATGACCTACAACCCACATGACCTACTAGCCATATGACCTACTACCCACATGACCTACTACCCACATGAACTACTATCCACTTATGACCTACTACCCACATGACCTACTACCCATTTGACATACTACCCACATATGACCTACAACCCACATGACCTACTACCCACATGACCTTTTACCCACATATGACCTACTACCCATATGACCTACTATCCACATATGACCTACTACCCACATATGACCTACAACCCAGATGACCTACTACCCATATGACCTACTACCCCCATGAACTACTACCCACATGACCTACTACCCACATATGACCTACTACCCATATGACCTACTACCCACATGAACTACTACCCACATGACCTACTACCCACATATGACCTACTACCCACATGAACTACTACCCATATGACCTACTACCCACATGAACTACTACCCACATGACCTACTACCCACATATGACCTACTATCCACATATGACCTACTACCCACATACGACCTACTACCCATATGACCTACTACCCATATGACCTACTACCCACATGACCTACTACCCATATGACCTACTACCCATATGACCTACTACCCACATGACCTACTACCCATATGACCTACTACCCATATGACCTACTACCCACATGACCTACTACCCACATGACCTACTACCCACATATGACCTACTACCCACATATGACCTACTACCCACATGAACTACTATCCACATATGACCTACTACCCACATGACCTACTACTCACATGACCTACTACCCACATGACCTACTACCCATTTGACATACTACCCACATGACCTACTACCCACATGACCTACTACTCACATGACCTACTACTCACATGACCTACTACTCACATGACCTACTACCCATATGACCTACTACCCATGTATGAACCACTACCCAGATGAGCCCATTTGTTGCTTTATTGTCCAGATTTTTTAGCCTTCAACGTTTAGTCCTCCACCCCATCAATAGCCGATTAGACACTATTAGTATTACAGAAGCTGCCACTCCTCATAATTTATTATATGTACTCATTATTAAATGGCTGTCAATGTAAATATTAAAAAAAAATTGCTGTAGAATTTTAAATGTAACGCAAGTTTATGTTGTTGATGAATACGTTACGATAGTCCTAATAAATTTTTAAACTGACCAGTTAATTTATAGGCCTATTTCTCTCTCTCTGTCTATATAATGTGCTAGTCTTTAGTAGATATCATGATATCATTATCATATCCAATAATCCATTCTTGATCTGGTAATTAGGCCGTAATAGCAGCTGTTGAAAACACCTCCCGTTGCACCGCTCGACTGGCAAAGCCAGTAGAAACACGGCGGGGGAGGGGGGAGCACTGATGACCGAGTTAGCCAACACATACTCCAACACTTCTGCTCGCCCGTTTGGTAAGAGTGGCTCCCCTTACGCCAGCCCAGTGTGTTTCAGCAAGCCGGCAACAATTAGATGCGGACAGGCTACTATTTTAACCGTGCGATACTTCAGCCAGCCGTGTCGCGGCCTTGTGTTAGATGCGGCAGGGAGCAGCCCGACAGGCTGTGACGGACGTGTGTAGCCCGATGGTTGCGTGTTGAGGATGCTGGTTCTAACAACAATGACTAGTGGATACTCAGCTCAGTGTGTCGTGCGAAGATTTCACGTGTGTGTAGCGCTAGTTCTTTCACGCTGTGCTACCTACTTGGATGTACGATGCATGTGAAGGTCAGTGGATAGGTCAACATTTCATCTCAACTAAATTCTATTCTACTGGCACTTGATTTGACACTAGAAAGTCTAGATCCTAGATCTAGATTGGGCTTCGTCGCGTGCTAGCGAGTGATTTGTCTTTCTAACATCCCTGTCTGTGTGATGTGTTGCCTTACTAAATCTACATTCTACATGGTTTACTCTATAGTCTATAGATAGATCTAGAAACTAGTGTTGGCCAACTTGTCAACAAATCAAATTACCTTTTAGCTTAGTAATTGTAACAAAGTCTGTAAACCTACTGAGAAGCCTATTCACCCCCCCCCCCCCACCCACCCCACTTAACACTATAACTAGCCTATAAGTATAATCAATATTGATTTGGCCTAGATTTTGGTTTATTGTAATAGTTAGGCCGAATAGGCCTAATAAAGTATCAAGAATCAGGTGTCATTAGGCCTAATACTGTTAATAATTTTTGAACAATATGCCTACAGTATTTAAATCTGTATACAAGCCTAGACCCTAACCATTAGTTTAAGCTATGTTTGGGGTTTCGGCTATATACCTAGATCTAGACCTATATAAAAAGTCGACGTTTTGTACGGATGTTTTTAAATGAATTAGGCCCTACTAGACCTGAGCCTATATTTTTGGTAAGCATATAATCTACCTAGGCCTTAGGCTATAGTTAATTAATTAAACATGCTACTAATAGGCCCACTACTATGTTCAGTCACTCTATACTCTATAGGCCTGTCTGTTATGTAGAAGGCCTGATACATTCGGTCTAAAACATGCAAGTAGGTGTCAATTAGTTTAGAAGGCCTATGTTTCCAGGGTTAATGTTAGGATTGAGTCTGTTATGCGATAATACACTTTAAAGTGTAAGGCTGAATATTTTATATATAGTCTACATAGGCTATATATAGGCTAGGCCCTATATATGTATATATATAGGCCTATATATATATACATATATATATATATAGGGATAGGCCTATATATATATATATATATATATATATATATATATATATATAGAGAGAGAGAGAGAGAGAGAGAGAGAGAGAGAGTATAGGCCTATATATATATATATATATATATAGGCCTATATATATATATATATATATATATATAGGCTATAAATATATATATATATAGGCCTATATATATATATATATATATATATATATATATATATATATATATATATATGAGTTGTGTAGATCAATGAATTTGTGAACTAGGCCACACCCAAGGTCACGTGTCACTGTCTACATGTTTGTGTCCCATAAACCTGGCATAACACGTGACACACGTGCGGCCACCGGTGTGTAGGGTCAGTAACACATGAGTTGTCTGAATCTGTTTCTTTAGTTATCTGAGAAGTGTTGGCTGATAACACTTGCCACATAAGACCCAAATTAAAAGCTTTGTTCCGTTGATTGCTATCTCACGGGACAATGGCTTGGTCTTGGCGGTGTTGCATTCTTGTACTTCATTACCTGCCGCTACACTAGCGGTTCTCGGCTTGTCAAATACATCACACAACATACCAGCGTGTCTAATACATCACACAACATACCAGCTAGTCAAAAGCATCACACAACATACCACCTAGTCAAATACATCACACAACATACCACCTAGTCAAATACATCACTCAACATACCACCTAGTCAAATAAATCACTTAACATACCACCGTGTCTAATACATCACACAACATACCACGGTGTCTAATACATCACACAACATACCACCTAGTCAAATACATCACACAACATACCACCTAGTCAAATACATCACACAACATACCACCTAGTCAAATACATCACACAACATACCACCTAGTCAAATACATCACTCAACATACCACCTAGTCAAATACATCACACAACATACCACCTAGTCAAATGCATCACTCAGCATACCAGTTTGTCAAATACAGTTTATGTTTTAAATATTCAGAAAGTGCAAATCGACTTACAGTTTTATTTAATGTAGTTGTAATGTGCGTAGGTTGTATACGTATAGTAATATTTATAACATACGTAAATAGTATCTATTATGAAGTTTGTAATTCCGTAATACATATACAACTTCTCGGTTTTGATCGTGTTTTTAAAATACTAACTTTAAATTTGCGTGAAATGGCATAAAGACGTAGTTCATCTGACTTGGTCATTGCAAATGTAGTTCAACCACCTGTACTGCCTACATTTATCACGCTCATTATATAACAAAACATTCGATCAAAATATACAGCCGACACGGTACAAAGACTGTCTTTGATACCAAGCATCAACAACACACAATATGGACGGACAAGGAAATGGCCTGGGGCTAAAAAACATATGCAAGACACAATGATGTGCCGAAATTTTCCCATGTAATTAATTTTTCTACAGAGTATTAAATTAAATACGTAACAAAAGTTGAGGTTGCCCTGAATCTTACAGTATTTTTACTTATTATTGTTATAAACCATATTATTTTTAACTTTTTAAACATGCTACCATAATTACACAACACACATAAATAAACTGCCAAATTTTACAATTCTCAACAATAATAATATTTTTATGATTTTTTTCTGTGACTTTTTTTACTTTCTCGTATATACGAAGTATAGAGAAAGTCTTGTAATCGTGCAAAAAAAAAAATATCGAGATTGTTACAAATCTCGACATTTTTACATCTCACTGATACGGAAAAACATAATTTTGCAATCTTGTCCGTATGTCTGTGTGTCTGTCTGTCTGTGTGTGTGTGTCTGTCTGTGTGTAAACACGATAACTTGAGTACCGTTACAGCTAGGTTGATAAAATTTTATATAGAAGTATTTTTATCAAAATCGTAGATCCGTATAAACTTTTGAGCGATTTCCGATAACAGGAAGTGGTACTTTTTCTACTTTGAATATAACTTGAGTACTATCAAACACAAAGAAAACACAAACGCAAAGATAAACTCAAAGTGTCCACAGTCTAGCCCGGGGCGCCGAATCGCACCATGACGACGTGCGGCGTAACCACCTGATTCAACTTAGTAAACGACTATAGTACCCAACTTATTCATAGTCTTTTGAACTCACTTACGCGAACGTAGGTACCATAGCGTACACGGGAAGGCCCGGGGCGCCAAATAGCACCCTGTCGGGGTGCCGGAGGATGCCCGGATTAGATTCACTTAAAGACTATAGTAACCTTTCTTATCCATAGTCTATCGCACTGTTTAAAACGAAATTATGCAGCATAGCGCTCACATGATAGCCCAGGGCGCCAAATCGAACCGTGCAGGGGCGCCGGCGGACGCGCCTGTTTCAGTTTAGTGAACAAAATTATAATACTCCAAGCTTATCCGTAAATGGAAAGAAATAAAAATATAGGATTTGTAGGACCAGAACTATTAATTGTTATTGATTTTTAAAAAAATAATCAGAAGAAAACAGTACGTTCAGTGTATGGAATAAATAAAAGGCAGTATTAAAAATACCAATAACATTGCACTTAATCAATCTCCGCTAATTATGTAATTATTTTTTTCCTAATACCAAAACAAAGTAATAAAAAGTAAATTCTTTCTTCCCCCGATTTAATGGTTCTTGAATGGGAAGTAACCGTGTTTTCCAAATCAAGGGACGCTATGAGAACTAAAGGACAAAATGCAAATACATTTCAGACACAATTTTAGAAATTTTATAAACGTTGATACATTTTTTTAAAAATGTTATGTAATGTTCATAATTGAAAATTATTATTCTAAGTATATAAAATGAAAATTGTTTTTAAAGACTTTCAATAGTAATTTTTTAACTAATAAATTTAGACCCTGAGCACTATAATAATCTAACACTTAAATCCATCGAAGTATCCACGACAAACATTTTACAAACATACAGAATTGAGCTCTATATATTAGATTCGAGAAAGTTTAGGGGAGATCACTCCCGGTTTATTTCCGATTAAAGTTTTCCTTTGTGACTTTATTCCTGAGATATTTTTTATTCCAAGCAAAACATGTGGCTATTATATTTTAGTTTTTCAATTGTTTGCTTATATGGTTAGTGCTTTAGAAGTCAGTATTATGAGGGTTAGGGCTTTAGAAGTCAGCATTATGAGGGTTAGGACTTTAAGTTTAGAAGTCAGTATTATGAGGGTTAGGTCTTTAGAAGTCAGCATTATGATGGTTAGGGCTTTAGAAGTCAGCATTATGAGGGTTAGGTCTTTAGAAGTCAGTATTATGAGGGTTAGGGCTTTAGAAGTCAGCATTATGATGGCTAGGGCTTTAGAAGTCAGTATTATGAGGGTTAGGTCTTTAGAAGTCAGTATTATGAGGGTTAGGGCTTTAGAAGTCAGCATTATGATGGCTAGGGCTTTAGAAGTCAGCATTATGAGGGTTAGGTCTTTAGAAGTCAGTATTATGAGGGTTAGGGCTTTAGAAGTCAGCATTATGATGGCTAGGGCTTTAGAAGTCAGTATTATGAGGGTTAGGGCTTTAGAAGTCAGTATTATGAGGGTTAGGGCTTTAGAAGTCAGCATTATGATGGCTAGGGCTTTAGAAGTCAGTATTATGAGGGTTAGGTTTATAGAAGCCAAGACATGAAGACAATGCAATCTGACATTAAATTTGACTTTTTAGTATGCCTAATTAGCTTTTTATGAATTAATTACAATGTGCCCAAATTAGTTGGCAGACTTATCCAACTATTCCGCACAATTATATTAATTATATATTAACTCTATTGTAAATAAAAAAAATAAAGTACTGAAAAAGAAATTCATCAAATATATAATAATACACTACTATTTAAATAACTATAAAGAAAAGCGTGGGTCTCTTCCTAAATATTAGTAAAGGTATCCAATAGATAATAAAGTGACCCACCAGGTTTTTCTTTCTAGTTATTTAAATAGCAGAGGATTATTATATATTTAAAGAAAGTCATTTATGTTCTGCATTTTAGTGCATTACAACATAAAAAATTATTATTAAAACGTTTTGAATGAA